GAAAAGGTCTGGCCACCGGAATTTATCTACTTCCTGTAGTGTTTAATTCAGTATAGGTGATTCCGTCCGATGTCATTTGCATCTCTCTGACCATTTTTTCAGAGTATGTTGTAGTTAACGTACTGGGTCAGTCTGCTGCCTCACAGAAAAGCCTCTTTCTCAATAAAGATAACAACATTCGATTTGCTTATCGCGTGCATAGTCGTTTATGAAAAGTGAAGCAACGCGCATCTACATGCGTCATAACTGCGGCTAGAGTCCTCCATATAAGCCTTCCCACTTTCGGCTCCAAAGGTTTTATGTGCATTTATGCTGACTTATATCTGGTTAAATCGAGTAACCGTGTTGTATTCATGCCGTCATTCCATTAGAAGTGTCGGATAGAATACAGGTGTTCCGTTTCGCCTTGGACATCCCATCGAGAGTTCCCAGGACTTCATGGGGCGAGAAGCAAGCAATAATCGAGAAGTATCCCTGCAAAAGGAAAGTTTTCCTGGGGTGCGGTTGATTGACGCAGGCTAAAAACAGTCAATGCTTCTCCCAATACCTCCCGAATTCACAGGTAATACTTCCCGGATAGTGGATAGTGCCGTTTCCTGTTGTCTCACATGAACAAACTTGCTGGACATGTCTACATTCTCATGTCATAGCTCAGTCAGTAGAACGTTGGCTGCGCAAAAGCCTTCGACTCCCGCCGACGCCGCGAGTTTTTTCACAATTGGGTTAACTAAATTCTCAAAAGAGTTATTCCATCTCACCAGATAGTATCTGCGCACGCCTCGCATATGAGGTAATGTGCTTGCGGCAGTCATGTTTTCGACAGCGACTTGTAAGTTTTTTATGAACACCGCGTCGTGTCGGAACCAGATTGGTCCTTGTTCTGAAGAGGTTACTCAGCTATTCTATTTCTTTTTAAGGCGCATGCAATGGCATTTTAATTTACCTGAACGAGATGTTCTAAACACACATATACACCGTTTTCAATAAAAATAACTTGCAGTTGCCAGTATCTTTTCATCAACCTGGACGATCCTGAATTTCTCGGTTGTGTTGGTGGTTTAGGACAGTAGTCGAGTGCGCACACATGGTTCGTGTTATTTCCGATTACCCGGACAGTTCATAAGAGAACTGGACTCATTTTTTTAGGTTGATGTCTCTATTCCTATTTTTCAACTCCTCTATCAAACACCTTTCCGGGAAAGGATCTTCTCATGCCCACCCCTCCTACTCTTTCAGGTTCTCTTTGCGATTCCCCAGTTCCGCTGGTGTTACGCCAATGCGTGGCAGCAGATTACAGAGGAGGCTATGCAGAACATGGCGCAGTTACCAGTGGATAACTTTAGTCTCCAGTTTGCCAAAATCGGAAACTCTCTTTGCTCCGGTGCCTATTCCTGGCCTCCTCCTCCGACACCGTCAGAGGAAAGCGAGCCGAAACGCTTGCCCCAAAACCCAGGTGCGAGCTACTTTTCAACACTGATTTGCACATCCCTACTGCTCATTTTTGACCAATTCATTCGCAATAGGCATTCTAGGAGATTGGGAGTGCATACTGGGTGCGACTCTTTAAACGCACACACAGGCAGTG